CCCTTTCACACCAAAAGTGAAATGAATAATCCTCAGGCTGAAGGAATAGCCTCTGCACTTACTCCCGATTTCTCTCAACGCAGGGTCAGTGAATTAATGGGAAACTGATTTGAAAAAGTAACTCTGCCATTTCATTATAAATGTAAGAGTAATGCATTACTTTACTAGTAACTTGAAAGTAATCCAACACAGGCGGTGTACGTGCTGAAGGCTCTTACCGATGGAAATGGAGGTGATGTGTTTGTTCTGCTCAGCTGCGAGATCCCGCACCAATCCGCTGGCATCGTATCCGGGCACGGAGCACATCAGCACCGGCGTCCCCGGCTTCACCTGCACACACAAGCACTAATGCAGCATCCGCAGCATCACAGCGTCAGCACACCACAGACACGCATCCCTACCTCACTGTCCACGATGTTAGCCAGGTCCAGCGGCTGTTCCATGATGGCCATGAAGTTTTCTCCCATGACTTTAGACACGAAGATGTGTGTCATGGCCAGCAGACGGTCGGGTCTGAACGCCTGGATCAGCAGCAGCTGGTGGACTGCCTGACCGATTAGAGCTGAGGACAAACACACATGCGTCACTCCTGCAGTCTCTCACAGGGAGCTGCGTGTGAAAATGCATATGAAAACATGTGGAAAATGTGTGAAAATGCATGCAAAAACACTTGTGAAAATGCATTGTACTCACTGGACGTCTTCTCTTCGGTCCACAGATATGGCACTGACAGCTCCGGCGAGTTGCTCTCGATCCACATGAAGAATTGCTGGAGGACAGAAGGCATTGTACATTCAGATGCTCTGCGGTGAAGAACAGACGCGTACAGGACAGACAGACGAGAGACGCTCACCTCGTCGGCCTGCACTTTGGCCACCAGGTCTTTAAACGCAGGCAGACGGCTGAGGCGCACCATGGCCTCGGACTGCTCGCTGCTCAAACCCTTGACTTTCGGCACCGTCGTCCCACTCAACACAATCTCTTTCCCACGCAAGAAGTGCTGGAACTCTGCGTCGAATGACGGCTCGCTGAGAAACACGAGAGGAAACATCTGAGCTGCACATCCTCAGAAAACAAACACAGCTCTGATCATGAGCAAGACCACGTCTCTCAGCCGGAGTTAAAGCGCTAAAGGCCAGAAATCAGCTTCTGCTCTTTCTGTAAATCTCAGCTCTAATAGCTGTAAATCGCAGTCCTGTTCTCATCTGATCTGAACACACATTATCACAAACACAAATCACTCTGAGCTTCACTTTAAACTTATTACTAATAAAATAAGGACAGAGGACATTAAGCGGAATGTGATTAATTTTCTCACTAATGCTATGCATTCACACATACATAGATTTGCAAACTCAGGTCAATAAAAGAGTTAAAAAAAGAAAGCAAGAACTGAATTCAAGTGGAGATTAACTCCCTTATAAATGAAGAGAAAACTGAACATTTCGTTTCTTGATGTTTGTACCTGGTCATGCCCTTCAGGTTGATTCGTGAGAGCAGCATGGCAAACGTGACGTGGTCCTGATGCAGCATGCCTCGAGCGACTC